TATATATATATATTAATTCCTATATATTTACAAATCTAACACACAACCTTTAGTTTTTACATTTATACCACTCAAATCTTTGATAGCACATAAAAATATCACCATTTTAATTTTTAAAATTTGAAATACACCTTTCATGGATAGGTAAGATGACATGTATGTAAAATATGAAGTTTAGGTGCTAGATATGTAAATACATAGGAATTGAGTGATATGTATGCAAATTTGATTAATATAGAATGTTAAATAAATTCTTAGAATTTAAAATTATTTTTTTAAAAAAATTCGTAAAGAGCTTATAGCATGGCCGCCTGTGATCCGCATTTGAGGTCCTCTATTGAATTTAGCCTATCTAGACGTTAAATACCTTAGACTTTTAGCATAATGGAGTTTATGGGATGGCTTTATCATTCATGTTTCGCCGAATGTTTTTATTACCAATTTTACATTAATGTATAAATGCTAACCAATCACTTATTTTCATTTATTTTTTTGAGTTTTGTTGTAAGTTTTTGACCATTTTTGTAACATATCAATTTTTCATTGCTATGTAAATGCTAACAATAGAAAATAAGTAATTGAAAAAATCTTTCAAGAATCTCATTCACATCTTTGTACAAGATGAGATATATATACAACCCCTAGAGACATTACAAAATAAACATAAATTAAAAAATGAGAGAAAAATTATTAGGGGACGGCGATCCTATAAGAATGCACACGGATTACAATCCGAGGGTTGTAGAGAGACAAATCTAATGATGCAGAATCTCGATCCGTGTACCTTAAGTTCTTTGCTATCTGAGGGTCAAGTAAAAAAATCCAATGGTAAAAGCTTTGATTTGCATGCCTTCATTTTTTTTGCAATGATTAGAGCAAAAATTCAATACTTCCCCTTAAACTGGATGGTAGAGATCTACCTTTCCAAGTTTGCTTATGATATTTGAAAATTTTGGGTCACAAGGTCCGTTGGTGAATATGCCACTCAGTTGATTTCCTGTTGGCACATATAGAGTACAAATTAGGCTACTTTCCAATTTTTCTTCCATAAAGCATCTATCAACTTTAACATGCTTGGTACATTATGTTGTAATAGATTGTATGCAATGCTGATGGCCGATTTATTATCGCAATATATTTTGATAGGCTCTTGATTTTAAATTCTCTAATATAATTTTAACTTATAAAAGCTCTTAGATTCCTTGTGCAATGGCTATAAACCCAGCTTCAACGCTTGAGCTTGGAATCACAGTTATTTCTTGTTTCTCTAAGTTGTGAGATTTTCTTCTAAGAATATAAAATACCCTGAAGTAGTTCTTTTATCCACAAACAAGTGATCCAACATATTTTGCATCGGTTTATCATTCAACTTGTAGAGATCATGTCTCTTGTATAAAATTCTTTTTCTTAGGCTTGATTTGAGGTATTTGTTCTATAGGTGGCTTGAAATTGAAACTTTTTAGATTTATGCATGAATTGACTAACTAGATTTTCTGCAAATGTGATGTCAGGACGAGTGTAAGACAAATAAATTAGTTTTTTTTACTAATCTTTGATATTATCCCATATCTACATTAGCTTCTTCTTCATCAAGTTCCAATTTTTGTCTTGGTTCAGCTGGAATCTCACATTATTTGCACTCTATCATCTCGGTTTTTTTTTGCAGATCCATAACAATACTTGCACTCTGCCATCTTGGTCTCTTTTAAAAGATTCATTACATAATTCTATTGGGAGAGAAATATCCCTTATTTATATTGCGTCACTTCAATTCCCAAAAAGTACTTTATTTTTCCTAACTCTTTAATTTAAAATTCTTCAGCAAAGCTTTTTTTTAAAGTATCTTTCTTTTGAACCTCATCTCTTATAATAATCATACCATTAACATGCAGAATAAGAGTTGAGATTTTACCATTAAGAGAGTCCTTTATGAAGTGATTATGATCTCCTTGACTCTGTTTGTTTCTAGCTCCTTATATAGGCTTTGCAAATGTGTCAAACTAAGCTAGTGATGATTATTTTAGTCCATAAATGGCTTTTTTTCAATCCACATAATTGACTTTTGTAAAAGAGCTATCAAATCTTGGTGGTAGATCTATATAGATCTCTTCTTCGATGCCATCATGTAAGAAAACTTTTTTTTATATTATATTTTTATCTATGCTACTCATAATTTATTGTTAGGGATATCAGAATGTAAATCATATTCATGTTTGCAACAGGAGCAATAGTTTATTAATAATTATCCCATAATATATCATTTTACTATTAACATTGATTTATATCTTTTCAGACTCCCATTTATATAGTATTTCAATATGAAAATTCATTTGCATCCTACTCCTTTTTTTTGTATTGGTAATTTAGTGATCTCACATGTATGTTTTTTTTTTTTTTATGGAATTCATCTCTTCTCTTGTGTTTCTTCAATTTTTTTATTTTCAAGTGCCCCAAATAGAGTTTGTGA